CCCCGGCTATGCCCATTGCAGCCTGAATCAGCTGTTAGCTCAGTAACTGCTAAAGATCAGGCATTCTTCTCTACCCATCTCCTTACAGTGACCTCTTTGGAATTTTTTTTTGTTGAGTTAAATTTTTTTTTTTTTTTTATGAATCTCCTGGAGGTAAGCTTGGAACTGAAAGGAATTTTTTTATATGCTTTGGATATTTTCTTTTTATAGCTTTGCCAAGATAATCATATTACATCCTGACACCAGACAGTGTAAATTAATTCCTCTTCTTTTGTATGCACCTCTCCACAGAGAAGAACCAGGTTTTTCACTTTAACACTTCATTAAATTGTAAGATGGAGAAGATGAAAAATGAGGCCTCTTGGGGAAATTGTATCTTGTCTGGGCCAGCCTGGAAACTGACAGAGGGGTTTAAAGCAAATTACGTCTTTAGGGGAAGGAAGGGGAAAGAGAGACAGAGAGATTTCAAGAGCAAAAGATTGGGTCGTTTATTTACCTAACATTAATCTTATGGATCTCACAGCATATATCATCCAAATGAATAGACTGTTTATTGACTATTTTAGGAACATAGTATGTCTGTATATCATTACACATGCTACATAGACCTAAAAGTTTAATATTAAACCTTGTTAATCTTTTTATGGTGATATATCACAAAATTAACTTTCTCCAAACCTATGCTGATGGTTCAGGGCAGATCAGTCATCCCCTGGATTTGCTCATCTTTCACAAGGCATTCTAGTGGGTGACCTGTTCTTCTACAGTCTCTATTCCAAAGACGGTGTCCACCGAGTGCTTTTCAAATGGTCTTCATGTGGCTCTGACCTCTGTGTGTGTAATGCAGCTTTCTGTGCATATGTGCAGATAGGAAACTGATGTTAGTAGAACTGGGTAAAACAGCTCTTTGGCGTCTTATATAATGCTACACTTATCCCCTAGGCACACAGCACAACTGAACCGAGGGGTGCCTTTGAAGCCATCCTGCCCTCAGCTGTTCCATTGTTATCCTCTGACATTTGAGTAAGGATGCAGACAAATTTTAGTATGGGAAAATTCTTCCAAATCTATTAAATTTAAAATAAGAAAACAGAAAGCTGATTCAGTTTATAATCATCTGCAAATTAGTATAATTACAGACAACTCTCATATAACAGGAGTATCTTGCAAGCAAAGGAGATATGGACACTTGAAAGCAACAGAAAGAATTATTCCTCAAATCCTGTTTATTCTGGAGAGCCAACCTGGGTGCTTGAACATCTCAGAGGGTATTGATTAAGATCTCTGTTGGGGGCAGGGGTCTATGAAGATTATAAATAAAATAGGAAAAGAAAAAAAGATTGAAGAACATCTCCTGTATTTCAACTAATATTGTTTTGAGCAACATTTACAGATGTTTACCTCTGAATAATAATAGAAAGCTCAGAAGCATTCAGTTTGATGGAATGAATATGGAGAATGAACATATGAAGGCAGTGAAGAAAACTAGGTATGATCATTTTAGAATGAGTTTTAGATCACAACCTCATTACAATAACACCATAGATCCAACTTCTGGTCAGTTTCAATCATTGCCTTTTTATTTTATATTTTATTTTAAAAAATCATTTTATTGGGGGCTCGTACAACTCTTATCACAATCCATATATCCATCCACTGTGGCAAGCACATTTGTACATATGTTGCCATCATCCTTTTCAAAACATTTGCTTTCTACTTGAGCCCTTGGTATGGGCTCCTCATTTTTTCCCCTCGTTGTCTTTTTATCAGGCTCTCTCAAACCAACTGCTTTGTCCCCCTTCACTATCTTCCCTCATCAAGCTCTGTTTTTTCCCCTTCTGCTTCCAATGCTCCCTTCCTGTACATCCTGTCCAAACCTGCTCTCTGAAATATTTCATTCATTCATTCCTCCACAGTGTTAGGATCGTTGCATGGTTCCCGAGAAAGGAACTCCCCAGAGTCCTAAACTGAAGAATCAAATTGTTTAATGGCACATTCTCACAAGTATTTGATGGGGAAGAGTGTTACTTGGGGGAAGATCCAGAAAAGACGTCCTAATTTGTCAACCTTTTATTTTCTGCCTATGTTCACATGTAGTGTGGGGCATTGGAGTCAAGCAAAACTGTGTCCCCAGCAACATCAATTGTATGTTGGGAAAATTCCTTAAAGTCCTTGAGACTCTGCTTTCCTATCTGAAAGTCACAGTAGGTCAAGAAGGATGGACCGTGGAGGCTTGTCTCATCCCTCCCTGTCATTCCCCACACATTCATCTGAAACAGTTCCTGAAATTCATCAGGAACTAAGGAGAAAAGTAATGGTTATAGCATTACTAATATAGTAATATAGCATTACTAATATAGTATGTCTAAATAGCATTACTAATATAGTATAATATAGCATGTCTAATTCACTTGAATGGTCTTTGTATTTTTAAAGTATTGTTAATTGTCAAGATTAAAATCCCAAATCTCTTTCCTGGTTAAATGCTAAACCAGAATGTCTAATGTAGGCTAAAACATTATGTTCATTTAATGTGTGCTTTAATCCTGAATAAGCTAGCCCAGCCATGGTTAGAATATGTTCATTGGGTAATTTTTTTCATAGACATTTGTTCAACTGAGGTCAAGAAATTTGGGCATTTTGCTGAAGCACTTATGCATGAAATGCCTTTCTTTTTTTTTTTTTTTTAGTCCAAGATTTTTCTCTCTTCTTATTCCTCCTATAAATTATCTACATATTTATCTGGAAAATATAAATTAGCTCATTCTTATCTCCAATTTTTATATTCAAAGTAGTGATCATAACTCTAAATAAAAGACTGTTCAGTCTTTTTAAGACTGCAACTTCTTATCCACAACTGCAACTACAACTTCTACTCTGGTACAATCCCTCCCTTTAATTTGTTTCAGTGATCACTCCCATTTTTTATTAATAAATTAGGCATAATTTTGAAAATATATGAACCTGCTCCCAGGTCTATCACCATCTATAATTAGTGGGGGTGGTGGTCTGGGAGTGATTAATTTTTCATTGCACATTTTTAATGATCTGTGAAGTTCAGCAGCTAGGTGAGGATAAAAATAGGTGTGCTCTTTGAGTAAAACACTACAGAAACTGGTTGAAAAGGTTCTTTTAAAATTGAAATGCAACATCTTATATAAGGGACTAACACATGTACAGCTAATCTTGACAACAACATATCCAATCCAATTCCTTTGTCCTATTTTACAATTTCATGGAATAGGTGCAAAGTCAAGTGAATCAATGTTGTTAAGGGCAATCAAGGGGAAAAGGAAAATTATCGATGTTGTAGATACCTGAGAATTCTGGAGTTAAAAGAAATGTTATCATCAGTTATGAAAAATAACAACCTAGGTAAGTTTAACAACAACAACAACAACATTAAAATTAAAAAAAGACAACCCTCCTTCCAAGTGGTGTAGTGTATTAGTTGGGTTATGATCTGAAAGGTAGGTTAGCAGTTCAAAATCACCAGGTACTCCATGAGATAAAGACAGTATTTTCTACACCCATAAATGTTTACAATCTAGGAAATTCACAGGGCAGTTCTACCCCACCCATCCTATAAGGTCATTAATGGCTCTATATGTCCTTTAGGCTTTAATTCGATGGCAGTCAGTTTGGTTTGTTTTTGAATCCCAGGGCTGATAATTGGTATGTTTGAGACCCTTTTCTGAGGGGCACGCCTTCAATGTGCTTGGGGGGAAGTTTCCAATTGTAAAATCTACTATGAAGAAACCTATCCATGTATCATAATTTTGAGACTTGCTTAAAATTTATTCTTCTAAGCTCTTCTAAGGCTTTAATGAGGGGGAGACAGCAGGGTGGAGGGTGGTGGGAGGAATCACCATTTAATTGGCAAAACCCTCTTGCTTGAGAATAGATGTGGGGTGGGGGAAGCTTGCTAAATGAAAATCCCACCTTGACTTGACGTTCAGAACAACAGAAACGAATTACTGTTCCTATCGAAAAGTTGTAGGCCTTGGTGTCTGAATTGCAGCATTGTCAAGAACATAGCAGTCACTTTATGTTTTATTTATGTGTAGCGAGAGGGATTCTAGCACTCTGGATTCCAGAGAGGTAGAACATGATCTTAGCAGCCTCGCCTGTGAAAAATGGGCATGCTCATTTACCATGAAACCATAACACCATGAAACAAGGTATTAGGCTGGGCACTAAGGAGAGAGACAGCTAGCTGGGGACCCCTGTGAGGGGGCACAACTGATGGATTCCAGTAATAATGACATTGGATATCCAAGATGAGGTTTCATTTTTCTGCATTTTCATTCTCTTGTGCTCTCAAAGCTCCTATACCACAACTGTCCTAGTGACATCTATGCATTGTGCAAAAGAAGGAGGACCTTGAGGCCAATCCTGAGGTGAAGTAAACCAGCGAGAGCATCATCGACAACAAAACCCACTGTGAGATAGCAGGAAGCAGTGAGCAGAGAGACCAGGAGAGCAGACACTGGAGACACTGAGCACTCAGAATTCGCTCGTATAATCTGAAGAGTCTGAGAATTTGGAAGTCTGGGGAATGCAAGACTGTACAACCCACAGTATGAGGGCTACAATGCTGTTTATTGAGTTTCCAAGGCAAGATGACCCCTCAACCCTAGAGATCATGAGAGTATTATGGTTATATCCTTTAAATACTTGTTCAGAAAACACGTACTAAGCACTAAGCTACTAGGAACTAAATACATTAAATAATTAATTTTTGTTTTTTATACAACAATCTACACACATTTGAAAATGTTGGTATATGTGGGTATGTAAATATATTTTAGAGACACATACATACCTTTGTAAGACACCTCTAATACATATATGAAATTAAGAGACCAGGATCTACATGTTGGCAAACAGTAAACTGTATCATGGAACATGGCCCTTGGGGCTGGCACCCCGTCTCTAGCAGTGTCTCCTATCACAACAGACAGCATTTATCTCTAGTATGTAAGCCTCCCTTCACCTACCTTTAACTTCCTTCTCTTCCATTTAGAATAACAGATTTTTTAATAGCTCATTTACTCTGATCCTCTCAGTTGGTTCTTAATGACTGAACATCTACATAGTAACCATGATCCTCAATGTTCAGTAGACAGGTCCAGAGCAGCTCAGCAATGTATCTCGTGAATAGAATGCAGATATCTCTCTCACTAGATTCCATCCCATAGTCCAATCAGTTGTTTAGTCCAGAGTCCTGGAAGCAAATTTTTAGCAGTGAGAGCTTGTCACTAGTGGAAGGCTGTGGGTTAAAATATTAGGGATAGCTTCTTTTCCTACTCTTTATCCAAGTCTCATTTGTTAGACTATGTATAATCACATAAGAGAGATTCATCTTGATGGAAAAATAAAAGATATTCAATCTTGAAAATTCTGAGTTATTTTCAGTGGGATAGGATGGAACAAAACTCATTTAATTAGCAAGTACAATAAAGTCTGACATTTAAAAACAAATTATGACATAATTCCATCCTTCACTGGTATGCTAAATGGTGATATGACTGCCATTTCAAAGTTTTAATTGCTTTGGTTTAATAAAAAAAAGTCAACTCAGTAATTATCCCTCTGCTATTGGATTCAGATCCCTTATGATGCAAGATAAAAATGACTTCTCAATGAGAAAAAAACAATTACAGTGGACTATTAGGGGAAATCTTATACCGTTGGGTTTTATAAAACAATATTACATAAGACTAAAATTGTTTATTGTATAGAAGCAAAGTAAAACAGCCTCTTATTTTTCTATTTAAACAATTTATCAAACAAATCTAAATGAGCTAATCCAGAATCACTTCCATTCATGTATGACTTTTTAAATTCATTTGTAAAATATCTGTTGAGTGACACCTACATGTCAGGAAAAACAGTTTTATGTTTGCTTTCACAGAGTCTAATGGGTGAGAGAGACATTGTAAAAAAGAACACAAATTCATATTTCCAAACTATGGTGAGTCTCAGTAAATGAAAACCTGCAAGGGGATCTGTGAGGGTATCAGGACCTGACTTGTTGACACTGTGAGTTGAGACATGAAGGACAAAATGGGGGGAGCTGGCGTCGAAGGAGGAGGAGTGTTTCCTGCAGGGGAGAAGAGCATCGAAGTGCGCTGGTGTGCAGAGAAGACAGAAAATGGCAACAGATGAAAGGGACTGGTTACCAGGAGCCACCTACTTCAGGACTGTGGCATTCCAAGAATGCCTAATAACACTGCCAAGCCATAGCAAGACGCTAACCAATGTCATGATGATCACAATTAAAGTTTATAAAACGCATTCGGGCTGCAGCAACTAGACTCAACAAAAAAAAGACCATCAGTGGAATAAGAGGTCAAAATGATAAACCTGACATGAAGGGTTAAAACCTTGTCACTTGATCCCCCTCTGATAGATATACTTTGGGCCCGATCTGGTTTTTAATACTGTGTGTGTGTTTATTTTCATAGTGGGGGGTTTATTTCTGGTGTATTTTTTCATTGTAGGTCACCTTCTTGAATTGTTATATGTTTTTCTGGTTTTCATTTATATGAAACCCAGGACTGGGGAACCAATTGAGACAATAAGTAAAATAAAGGTTCCTAAGTGTGGTACAGTGGCAGGGAGTGGGGGGCAAAGGGGAACTGATATCAAGGAGTTCAAGAAGGAAGAAAATGTTCTGAAACCGAATGTAGTAGCAATTGTACAATACTGCTTGATGGGGTTTAACGATGGAATGGTATGATATCTGTAAGAGCTTCTAATAAAATGGCTTGGGGAAGGGAGGAGCCGAGGGTGGGGAAGAGGACTAGTGGCGTCCAGTGACAAGTTAGAAGACAACTGCAGTAGCCCAAGTGAAAGATGATGAGAAGTGAGCAGGTCAGGTTTATGCTTCCTATCTAGCTTCCATGAAGCCTAAAGTGCTGTGTGTTTTACACATCACCTATTCAGAGCTAAAGGAAAGCAGACTGAGGTAATGGATGATACCTGTGCTTTGGAGTTAAATGCATCCGGTTTAGAACTCTGGTCTTAAGTTTTGACTCCACGACTTATTAGCTAGGAGCCCTGGTGGCACAGCAGTTACATGTTGGGCTAACAAGCTCAGCAGTTCAAAACCATCGACACTCTGAGGGAGACAGGCAAAGCTTTCCACCCCAGTAGAGAGTTTTAGTATTGGAAACCCATAGGGGCAGGTCTATCCTGCCCTGTAGAGTCTCTGTGAGTTAGAATCAACTCGATGGCACTGAGTTTGAGTTTTTTGGTTTGACATCTTAGCTACAGAACCTTCAATCACGTCTGTGTGCTCTCTGAGCCTTTGTTTTCATATCACTGTAGTACAGATGGTAATACCGCCCATAGCTGAGAGGAGGAAGCATGGCTGTGTATGTGAAATCCTCGCCTGCAGAAGGCCAGTTAATACAGCAGTGCCTGGGAAAGATGAGTTGGTGTCTTTAGGAAACCTGTTCTGTCTCCTGTGTTTCTGTTCTTAGCAAACAGCACTAGAATCAAATCAATGTACAAGTCAGAAACCCAGAGACACGTTCTTTTTGACGCTCTTTGATCACTTTTAGGATCTCTAAATACCTCTTTTCTCCTCAGCGCTCTCCAACCTCTCTCACTACTCTAGTTAAGATCCCCACTTCCTCTAGCATAGATTCTGCAGTTCACTGATTCTACAGCCTCAGTTTTGTTGCCTTCTAGTCAATGAATCACACTAATCAGGCAAATCTAATTATCTCGGCTCATTCGCCTTTTACAACAGGAAAAAGGCAGACCATTTGTGACTGTGACCTGTAACACCTTTAATGATGTTCACCTGCTAAGTTTATAGCCACATATGACTCCCTGCCCTCTGGTCCAGCAGTGAGAAGAATCTGCTCTTCATTCAGACTTGCAACTTTCAGACTTACTTACACCTGCCACCAGTTTTAGACCATTGTTGTGTGTGGTTTATCTTTACCTAATCAACAACACCTGAGCGAGGCCTCAGTTTAGATATCACTCCATCTGGGAATCATGTACCCTGAGCTGACTCTTCCATGTAAGACTCTAAGGTGGATTGCATTATTTGAATGAATTGTAAGGTGAATCAAGAGAGGGCTAGAGACTTGAAGATAAACAACTGGCCATCTAGTTGAGAAGCAACAAAGCCCACATGGAAGAAGCACACCAGTCTGCGTGATCATGAGGTGTCAATGGGATCAGGTATCAGGCATCAAAGACCCAGAACAAAAAAATCATATCAATGTGAATGAGGGGGAGAGCAGAGTAGTGACCCAAAGCCCATCTGTAGGCATTTGGACATCACTTATAGAAGGCTCACAAGGAAGAAACAAGCCAGTCAGGGCACAGCATAGCACCGATAAAACATATAACTTTCCTCTAGTTCTTGAATTCTCTTCTCCCCCCAATACACTATCATAACCTCAATTCTACCTTACAAATCTGACTAGACCAGAACATGTACCCTGCTACAGATAAGAGCCTGCAACACAGGGAATCCAGGATAGATAAAACCCTCATGACCAATAAAGAGAATAGAGATACCAGGAGGATAAGGGGAAGGTGCGGGGAGAAAGAGGGAATCGACCATAACAATCAACATATACCACCCTGTCCCCAGGGAGACGAAGAACAGAAAAGTGGGTGAAGGGAGACAGTGGATGATGTAAGATATGAAAATAATAATAATTTATAATTTATCAATGGTTCATGAGGGAGAAAGGGAGGGAAGAAAATGAGCTCATATCAAGGGCTCAAGTAGAAAGAAAATGCTTTGAAAGTGATGATGGCAACCTGTGTACAAATGTGCTTGAGACAATGGATGTATGGATTGTGATAAGAGCTGTAAAGCCCCAATAAAATGACTTAATTTAAAAAGAGCGAGAGAGAGAGAGAGAGAGAGAGAGGCCTAGAGACTCTCACCATCTTGTCTAAGGCTGGGGTGGCACAGTGAGACAGCCCAGGTATCCTGCCACCTACTGAAGAGATCCTGTCTCTCCTTTAGACAGACACCTACCTATTCATCTCAATTGTGTCAGCTCTTTTCATTACACCTTCGAGATGTCCTCTTCGTGTGGCTTTGAAATATCGCACACCTATCTATACTATGGCTGAGGAGTCCCATACCTAAAAAGACAAATGTCCCCCCCCCTCCAAAGCCTTCTGGGGCTCCCCGAGAAGCAGTGTCCCTGCCGTCTGTGGCACTCTCCAATGCTCCCACGCTTTTCACAGTGCTCTCCTCCACAGCAATGCTGTGAACTCTTCTGAGATTAGAACCATGCTGTATTCATTTCACATCCTTGGTACTCAGAACCGCTCTTCAGAGTAGTACTTAATATATTCTGAAGTGCTTGGCAATCCAGAAGCAAAGAGATCCAGATAAGGCTGATCAGTCCCTGGGAATGGACATCATGCATGATAAAGTCGAAGGTCAGCAAAAAAGGAGGAAGACCCTCAACAAGATGGACTGGCATAGTGACTGCAACAAGGGGCTCAGATATAACGGTTGTGAAGATGGGGCAGGACTGGGCAGTGCTTTGCACTGTTGTCCATGGAGTACTAACTCAACGATCCCTAACACCACTAACAAAAACAGTGATGCAGAAGACAATTGGGCAATACAGAGAAGACAGACGAGAGCTATGTCATTTAGAGAATGGAGTTTGAGAAGACATGACTCCTGCATAAGTAAAGAATAAAGGTGAGAGGGAAAAATAGTGTCCTTGTTGGCAGGAGTACCTCTTCTGGGGAGGAGCACCCTCCTGCCTCTGTTTATTTAGGGAAGAGAATAAGCTGAAAAAAAGATGGCTGGAAAAGTTAAGTAGGGAAGTGGACTCATGCATCACTTTCTGCACCTGCTCGGGCCGCTCAGAAGCCTGCAGCCAGCCCTGGAGAAGCTGGCTTCAGTCTACAGGGGCTGCAGACCGCTGACAGGGCACCATCAGAGTCATCACACTGTGATGGAGAGGAAACGAAGCTGGGAACAGACATCCGAATAGTAATCTTTACCTGCCTTGTCACCTCAGGTAAGTTCCTGAGCCTCATTTTCCTCCCCTGTGAAAAAAGGGTTTGAACTACATGGTCGTCAATGGACTCTGTTTCAGTCTGCAGTTTGTGGCTATGGCAAGTGAATTTCCCAGAAACAGACCCACAACCAAGGGTGAGAAAAAGACTCCATTTGGTAAATTCCTGCAATGCAG